ACAGAAAGGCCTGGAGGAGTGTTGTCCATGGGGTCACGATGGGTTGGACATGACTTCGCGACTAACAACAACAACATGAGGATCTAAGGATGGAGCATGCATGAAGTGAAGCTCTGGCTAACATGAAAACTCTACAAAGCAAACTGGCAACAGCTCAACAGCCAAAATACTTGACAACGTTGTGGAGCTACACAGCATAAAGACAGACACAGGCATAACCAAGCACAGATGAAAAAAAGGGATCTGTGCCCATTTCAAATTAGCCAGAGATAAGCATGTGCCCTCCAGAGGAGATGGCCAGTAGCAACTTCCATGCATTTAACTGTGGTAAGCCGTCCTGATGCTATGTGTAAGGAATGAAATCCAATCAATGACGATAGGGGAGGCAAAGTACCAAGCAGCAACAGTTTTATATGTTCTGGCCAGACCGGGCACTCACCCCAAAGGTAGTGCACTGAAGGAGCAGTTTACACAGCCTCTTATTGCCTACTTCACACACAAAGTCCCTGCCTCCTTTCTCCCATTGGTGGGATACTGGGAGTTCACATTCTTCCCGTCCGCCTTCATCATACTGCTCCTTGGTATGTTATGCCCACCTGCCCATACGTCCCATGTTCATGTTAATAACCCTCTGAGTCATAGTAGGAGGCACCACTAATATGTATTAGCTGATTACGCAGCCGTACCTTGGATTCTAAGTACAAAAGTTTAATGCCATGTCTGCCAATTACATCTTGTAGTCTATTAGTTTGTGTTGGTCACAGTACTCCTATTAATCATGAAGTGATCTGTATAGCTTTACCCGTTCTAGTCCGTTAATCACAATACCTTTATTAATCACTAAGTGATCCATAGCTTTACCTGTTCTAGTTTGTTAATCACAGTAATCTTCTACTTCTCACATATGCAAAGGACAGGATACAAATCATTTTAATAAATAAATAAATAAATAAATAAATTTATTGAGTGAAACTGGAAACTCCACATTGTCCCAGGACATCCTAATAAACAAACCAGCAAAACGGGGGCTTGACATAAATACTATTAGGTGGATCCACGACTGGCTACAACATTCCATTAGTATAGAACAGTGATGGCGAACCTATGGCACGCGTGCCACAGCAGGCACACAGAGACCTCTCTGTCAGCACGTGAGCCAAGTCGCCCCAGCATCCCCTCAGCTGCAGAGCACTGGATGACCGCCTACATACGGGCCCTGCGCATGCTCGGAAAGGAGTAGTGGTGCCAGGAGATGACATCAGAAGCTGCGACTCATTAAGCTGCAAATCCTGTGGGCTTTTACATGGCCAGTCAGTGCACTGCCAAGGATATGTATGTATTTGGGTGAACTGGCTGGGAGTTGTTTTTTTGAAACTAAACCCTCAGTTTTCAGGATTCATTGCAGTGTTGGCACTTTGTGATAAATAAGCGGTTTTTGGGTTGCTGTTTGGGCACTTAATCTCTAAAGAGTTCACAATCACTGGTTTAGGGTTAGAAAAAGGAAGTGTCCTGGCTTGATTTTGATGGTTGGAATGTGTTTAGAATGGGCAGAAATTTTGGGCTTTGCAAAAAAACCTACTCAAGGAAGCTTTTTCAAAATCCCCCACTTTTTGAGTGTAACTTTACCCCTATATTAGGGTTAGGGTGGTGCACCAGGGTAGGGTTAGGGTTAGAAAAATGAAGTGTCCTGGCATGATGTTGATGGTTGGATTGTGGTTTGGAATGGACAGTAATGTTGAGTTGTGCAGAAACCCTACTCAAGGAAGCCTTTTTAAAAATCTCCTACTTTTCAGTGGAACTTTACCCCTATATCAGTGTTAGGGGTGTATACCAGTGTATGGTAAGGGTTAGAAAAATGAGGTGTCATGGAGTAATTTTTATGGTTGGAATGTGTTTCTACTGGGTGGAAATGTTGAGCTGTGCAGAAAAACCTACTCAAGAAAGCTAATTCAAAATCACCCACTTTTCAATGGAATGTTCTCCCTACATTAGGGTTACGGGTGTGCACCAGGTTAGGGTTAGGTTTACTACAACGAGGTGTACTGGCATGATTTTGCTGTTTGGAATGTGCTTAGAATTGACAGAAATGTTGAGCTGTACAGGGAAAACTACTCAAGGAAGCTTTTTCAAAATTCCCCACTTTTCAGTGGAACGTTACCCCGACATTAGGGTCGGGGTTGTGCACCAGGGTAGGGTTAGGGTTAGAAAAATGAAGTGTCCTGGCATCATTTTTATGGTTGGAATGTGTTTAGAATGGGCAGAAATGTCAAGCTGTGCAGAAAAACCTACTCAAATAAGCTTTTTCAAAATCACTCACTTTTCAGTGGAATTTACCCCTATATTACAGTTAGGGTGGTGCACCAGGGTAGGGTTGGGGTTAGAAAAATGAGGTGTCCTGGCATGATCTTGAAGTTTGGAATGTGTTTAGAATGGGCAGAAATGTTTAGCTGAAAAATATACTCAAAGAAGGCTTTTTCAAAATCCCCCTTTTATATATTTTCCCCCTACATTATGGTTAGGGTATTGCACCAATGTAGGTTTAGGCCAGTGGTGGCGAACCTATGGTACACATTCCACAGTGGGCACGCAGAGCCCTCTTTTTCGGCGTGCTAGCCAAGTCGCCCCACCATCGTCCCAACGAATAACAGTGCGCTTAAGCACCATGCTTATTCTCTGAAATGGGTAGTGGCGCCAGGCAATGATGTCACGAGCCACGACTCATTAGCTGTCACTCATCTGAGCTTTTGCATAGCTGGTTAGTGTGCTCTCAAGGCTATATATATATTTGCTTGGACTGGCTGTGTGATATTTTTTCTTAACTGAAACCTTAGTTTTCAGGTTTTATTGTAGTGCTGGCACTTTGCGATTAAAAAGTGTGTTTTGGATTGCAGTTTGGGCATTTGGTCCCTAAAAGGTTCACCATCACTGGTATTGGACATGGAACAACGAACTTAGAACTACAGCACACCAGATTCAGGGCAGACACCAGGAAAAACGTCTTAAGTGTCAGAGCAAGACAACGGTGGAACCAAGTGCCAAGAGAGGTTGTGCGCTGTCCCACACTAGATGCATTCAAAGCAAAACTGGAGAGTCGCCCGAGTGGGATGGTGTGACTTAGCATCTGCACCAGCAGGGGTTTGGACCTGATGGCCTTCTTGTTCCCTTCCGACCCTACTATTTCTTGAATCTATCTCATGTAATTTATGATAACCACATTATTATTTTGCATCATGACTCTGTGTAGGCATACTCAGAAACAGACATATGGCAAAGGTTTTCTGGAGATGAGGGTGGGCTTTTCTATTTATCTCGCCAGAGTATTGATTATCTAAAGTTGTGTATCAGTTTATTTACACATAGTTACAATGGATGGCTGAAGAAATGACAAGTTCAGCTGGTTTCTGTTGTGGATGCTCTTGCAGGGTTCAGACTAGAAGGCCTGCACAGCCCTCTCTAGCTCTATGGTTCTGTAACTGCTTAGAGCGATTTTTAAATATGTTCAGGAGTATATGCATCTTTTAAATAATCCTTCCATTAATGCTTTGTGGGACTTATTCCCAGGTGACTGTTCAGAGGGCCAAGCATCACTGTTTCAAATCGAAAATCCCAGCACCAAGAAGGGAGTTTTGTCTTTGAAATGGGCAAACTTATCTAGAACCTAATTACTAGCATCAGTCAGTGACTACACATACACACTAACAATGAATTATGCATGACATTTAATTACGAACCCAGCAATACAAACAACCTTGAAACTTAAAACTTTTAAATTTTAACTTTAAAATTTGGTCTTCACATTTTTGAAATTAACCTGAGTTAGGGGCACAGAAGTTGTGAATACGATGCTTTAAATCATAAAGATTATGTGTTCTGCATAAGAAATGATTTGTGCAATGCAGGGGCACAGGTGGCAGCAGCGTACCTAATGCTGGAGACAGAGTGGGTCTGGCTTATACATCCCACCCTTGGCAACCACGCATGGTAGGTCGTCATGTTTGAACCCAGCTTTCTGCAGGGTGGTTTATGAACATACCATGCAAAGAATCCATGGCTTGTTTTACAATTGTTCATGTCCATAAAGGATTGCATTGTCTGCACTCAGGGGACTTATTGTAACTTGCTGTGACAGGCTACCAAACCACTTGGCAAGAGTCACAAAAAAGGCTGTGCTGCTTGCCTTCTGTGACCTTGTCAATGGCAGTTTTTCCAGAAATGCCAAAACAGGGCCTTCTCTGCGGTGGTACCCAGATTATGGAATGCGCTCCCCGGAGAGGTTCACCTGGCACTGAGTTTATATTCTTTTTGGCACCAGGTTAAAACCTTTTTAACTGTTATTTTAAAAACTAATTTATATTTTAATATTTAACAGTTGATTTTATTTATTTTTTTTGGTTAATTGTTATTTATTGGTTTTATTGTGGTTGTTTTAATGATTGTAAGCCGTCCTGAGTTGCCAGGCATAAGGGACAGCACATACAAGTTTTAAATAAATAAATAAATTTAGGACCATGACAGGTTTTTTAAATTGGTGCCTCAAAAATCGGTATTTTTTAATTATTTTTTGCAAGTGCAGAAATGTGTATCGACAACCAGCCAGTGTTACTATTGACAAGATGAGGTTCCCTATCAGATAATTTGTACAAAACCTGCCTGAGTGCACCAAAATGGGGGCAGTATTTCCCCTTTGGCAATGGAATCCTCCTGTTGTAAATGTTGAACTGACACTTCTCAGTGTCCCCCACCATTTCAGAATGTCTTCAGCTCTCCAGCTACTTCAGAATAGGGAGGTAACCCCGTATTGTTCACTCTGTCAGAAGAATTGCAAGAAAGTTAAATGGATGGCATGGTGAATTTTTCTGGTGTCAAAATATTTTCTTGAAGGCATGACTATCTCAAGGCCTTCAGGTCATTACGAAGAGCTGAAATCTGTGTCCATATGGATAAGAAAAGAGAGATGAAAGTGTTTAAACAGTGTTTGGCTAAAATGAGAACACGACCCAAAAATAGTCAATATTTTAATTTTGCTCAAATATAGACTGAAAAACAGCCACAATAAATTAACTATGTAGAAACATACAAAGGTCTTCTCTTTTTGTACTTAACACTATTCAGGTCTTGACAAAAAGAGGGAAAATAAGTTGTTGCATTACTAGGACAGGAAACAAAATAGACACAGCCCAGACAGTTTGTCAGTACATTCATTCTCAAAATAAAATATGCCTAAGGACAAATATATAGGCAATAGAAAATAACTGGACTGTAGACCATCAGTTTTAGTTCAAGAGTTGTAGTGAGTTTACCTGCACACTGTAAACTTCAGGATTGGTGCCTAATCTCTTTATGAACTGAACAACAAAGACAGGATGGGCCAGTAAATTAGGATTTAATACTCCTATCAACTGCAATGGTTGCACTTGACATAAACATGCAACAGGTCACCAATGCTTGTACATTAAAATTCAAAATGAAAGCAAATGTTTAAAAAAGAATACAGAATAAATCATAAAGCAAGTCTAGTTTTCAGAGTAGGTAGGAGAAAGTAAAACCATGTGGTGGTTTATGGAACTGCCATATTCTTGAACTTTAAGTATACTTTAATATTCCACACTTTCATATACTGTTATTGCTAGAGCAATGAAGTATGTTGATCCATATCCAGTGTACAGACAGAAGTGCGCTTGAGTTCCACTGTAGCTTATTGTAAAGTGTACTAGCTTGCGGCCGCTGACAAAACTCAGGTCTTTAAAGTGCCATTGAGACTTCGAAATGTTAACCAGTATTTTTCTTTTAATCTTTGTAAAATGATGAACAAATTTCAATACTTGGAAGCAGTTTAGATGTTTTTTGCATTGATCCTGGAAATCTTCACATTTCCTCAAGGCTTCGTCTGAGTGCCTCTTGAAATTCTGCATCCTCTGCATCTGCATGAAAACATCAGACTTTGAAAGTGCAGCAAGTAGGAACAGGCACTTAATTTGGATACTGACTCAAGTGCAAAATAGTTGGTTTCCTAATTAGTGCCCTGTTAAAACAAAATACCAACACACCCTCTCTCTGAGTGCCAGATCAACACTACTGTTGAAGATTTGTACTAGTGAGAGATGCAACAAGAGTCCTTATGTTTGTAAGCCTGCAGAATTATCACACTAGTTTCCTACCCTGAAGCCAGTTTGGTCCAATGGTTAGAGTACAGGGTTTGGTCCTGAACTGGGACCTTGCCACTAGACTAGTTTTGGCTTGCCAGTCTTGAATGCGGCCTGCCTTACTCAAGCAGAGTATTATTTCATCTGGCTGCATACTGAATGGCGGCAGTAGCCCCAGGTTCCACCCTGATCCGGAATTGGCCAAGACCAGACTCAATAACTTCTGCATGAAAAATATGTGCTCTGGTACTGAGATATAGCCCCTTCCTAAGGCAAGTCCCCCACATGCCCTGGGGACACACATGGGAACTTTACACAGAGTTGTCATGACGTGTGATTACAAGAGCTCTTAAAACAGCCTGTGTGGTGTAGTAGTTAGAGGGCTGAACTGGGGACCAGGGAGATTCAGGTTCTAGTCCCCACTTGGCCATGAAGCTCCCTGGCTGACTTCAGGCCAGTCACTCCCTCTCAGCCTAACCTACTCACAGGGTTGGTGTGAGGATAAAGGGGAGTGGAACTATAGAAGCTGCCTTTAGTTTCCTACAAGAAAAAGATGGAGTAATATATATTGAAAAGTATATCAGGAGCAGCTGTATTAGTATGAACTGTGAAGGCCATACACACAGAGTAAAAGCAGTGGTTGTATGAAATGGTTCATACACCACGCCTCCATGTGATCCTTAAATGGATCATGAGCCTGCTGATAGCTCTGCTCATCTGGAGGCTGATGTGCAAGCACCACCAGCTGCATGGGTTAGTGTCCAGATTTTGATCTCTAAACTGAAAATAATGGACATCAATAATAAGAATTAAACTACCACCTTGTGACCAGTAGTTCACTGAATGCAACAGCCATTTCATGGATACTCTCCTCCCTTCTCTTCCATTTTTTCTTTGCCAAATTATGTACCTACTATTCAGGAATTTGTCCTACAGTGAAAAAATGTCCCAAATTATTCCTCATTTGCTAATACCATCTAGCTTTTTTATTGCCCCTTTGTTTTCTGAATAAGTATCACACATGTAAATTAAGAAATACCCTTCTGGTCCTGTGTTTCTTCAAAAGACTGTTGCATTGCCACTTGGGTATCATCCTCTTCATTTTCTGGAAACAGACACAAATCCTGTGTTAACTATGCCATGCTTTAGCACTCATAATTATCATTCCTCTTTTGAGCATCTTTGACTTAACAACTGGCTGCCATATTTATGGTATCCCCATTCAAAAGACAATAGCCTCAAACAGAAAACAGCAGATAAGCAAAAATTCACAGTTAACCTATCTCACACAGGGACTTTGAAGATAAACAGAGCAGAGCCAGGGAAGGGAAAGATCACATCCCCTGCCGAGCTCTTTGTAAAAACAGTGGGATGCAAATGATATAAAGAAATATGCCTCTGTTTAAGGAAACTAGATTTTTATTTCTATCAGCAAGATCTGTTTTGAAAGGTCTCTCTAGAACTTCAATGTCCATTCAGGAACCAGCAGGGCATACCCTAGCATACATCCATGTATTTTACTGCATGTTCAAGCAAAAATATTGATGAGACTGGCATGTGGTTTTCATTCTTTGACACTTCAACCATTGCACAGAATATGGCCGACCCAAAAGCTTTCCAACAGGGATGTTTTTGTACAAAGTTCCAAACAGGTGCTGAATGATCTAAATTTTAATTGCAGATATTCTGCATAATATAGGCAGACTTAGGCATACCCTGTGATCCTCTAGGGCAGTGATAGCAAACCTTTTAGAGACTGAATGTCCAAACTGCAACCCAAAACCCACTTATTTACTGTAAAGTGCCAACACTGCAATAAAACCTGAAGTTTTAGTTTAGAAAAAACAACTCGCAGCCAGTCCAAGCAAATATCTCTCTCTCTCCTTGGCAGCGCACTGACCAGCCATGCAAAAGCTCAGACAAGTCACGGCTAATGAGTCGCAGCTTGTGACATCATTGCCTGGAGCTGCTACTCCTTTTCCGAGCATGCGCATGGCCCCTATGTGTGCTGTTATCTGATGCTCAGCTGCTGGGGCAACTTGGCTCGCGTGCCGACAGAGAGGGCTCTGCATGCCCACTGCAGCACGCATGCCGTAAGTTTGCCACCACTGCTCTAGGGAACTGGACTTGAACCTGAACACAAAAGGTTTAAAAGATTCCACTTGTTTTTTTTTTTTCATGAATCAGGGCTGCACCCAAATCAAAAATTTCTTCTCAAGAGTGGGAAGAAGTTAACCATTTTGTTCAGACGTAGAATGGCATGAATTAATGAACACATGAGTTGTGGGACTGTGCACATGGCACAAGTCTTTCCCTATTTCCAGTGAAAACCTGCAAACGTGGCATTCATAGGTTATTTCCATAATGTCTGAACCTAGGAGCCTATGGCAGTTTGTGAATTAAACTAACACAAGACAACTCTTGGGACTGTTTGTTCTTGGGTTATTTGGGGATGTTTAAACCATGAACAACCAAACCCAAGTTCTTTGGTTCAGATGTCATGGAAACAACCTATGAATGTTACATTCATAAGCTGTTGCTGGAAACTGGAAGCATCTTGCATTCCCACAATTGGTGGGTTCTTTAACATATGAATTACTGCTGAAAGTCACCATTACAGCTGAATAGGAATTCTATAGCATGATTTAAGAAAAAATTATCAGTTACTCTGAATCTCTAACAAACCCTCTCAAGACAAACTGGTTCAAAATAGTCATTTCAATCAACAGGTACGCCTGAGGCTATAGTGTTTGGTGAGCAAGTGTGTGCCTTGTTTCCAGATCTAAAGTGATCCAACAGTGATTTAAAATCTAGAGGAGGTAAAAAGATGGATAGAATTCTGGGATTGGTAGTTCTGTCCTCTGAATTTACCTTGACAATCTACTTCTAAAGGGTATCTGAATAAAATGTGGTCTAAGTTCGACAATATCATATACCAAATTGTGAGCTAGAAGCTTTTCTGGTTAAAAATGTGCCAAGTTCCTGTCATTGATGAGCTTTAGTCTATGCCTCAAAGTATGCAAACATATTGTACTTGTCAAGGATTTCCCCCCCCATTTCCTGCTTTGCAGTTGATAGGCCCATATTGTAGAACCTCTGCAGTTAGGCAGAACAGCAAAGACTTCAGTGGAAAGCAGTAGATCACAAAAGATTATAGGGTCCCAAGGTTTTCAATCAGAGCCAGATACAAAGCAGTGGTCCTGGAAAGTGGAAACAGAATTGAGGAAAAAGGTCTGTCTGAGCACATGCTTAGCTCAGGAACCTGTTTTTAGTACCAGAATATGAAACTTGTACATACTTGTCACACATAAATGTACTCCAAAGTTTCTTGATTCAAGCACTCTAATTCAGGGAGGAGGAAAAGGTCTTCTGTTGTCACTATTCTTAAACCATTGGGCACTGAAAACCCTACAAATCACCTAGAGATCTACCAGTGAATCTTGATCTACTTTCTGCCCATCTCTGGCATAGACAGTAAACTAGTTTGTCAAAGCTATGTCAGGGTGGCCATTACAGTCTTTCATGGGAAATTATCTGCTCAATAGAAATGTTTGTACTGCATTAGTTTCATTTACTAGGCAACATATGCCCAGTATAGAGATACCTTTGGCTGTATCTGAAATGCTGTTTAATAAGGCACACATCATATTGGCATCAATCTTATGAGGATCTAGAATACGGATTGCCCGTTGAGTCATCTTAAGCTGATCTTCCAGCTCTAGAAAACTTTTGTCTCCAGAAAGAATAGTGAAAGGGATATGCTTTGGCAGGTGTTCATCAAGACGGCCCACCTATGAAATGAGAGGAAATAAAAGTATATAGTTATCAAGATCAGCTGCACTTTAGTCTGTGGAGGAAAGTTATGCCAATTGAGAAATTTATGGAAATTTGTTTTTAAATTGCTACCAGATTTGCACAATTTACCTGTTTGTTCAGGTTGCACAGCGATCATCTAACACACACGTACACACACACGCACCAGAACAGGAACTGGTCATGAGGCAAGTGACTTGACAATGGTCAAAAATCAAAGAGAACTCAAATATTGTTTGTTCATCCATAACTGACACCAGTAAGACCAGAGAAAATCAGGGTGTCTTTCAAAAGATTATGCATATTGAAAGTTAAAGACTAGAGGCTTTAATTATCTCTTGTTTATCAGTGCAAAACCCTGAAAACTTACATGCACACAGATTGCAAAGTCAGCTGCCTCTCTCCTTGTACCACAGCGTGGATGGAGGAAGAAACAACCAATCTTGTTTAGATAATTAAAAATCTTGCAATTCATAGGTGGTTTCCAGTTGTTATGTCCACCTAAGCAATGAAAAAAGAGGTAGCTATTGTTAGAAACTTCACTTAAGCATGGTCAGCACAGGTTTGGGAGGGGAAAAAAAAGATGTTACATGTTCTGAAAACTGTAAAAATTAATAATACATTTTTGCGAACAAACTAATCAAAGTTGCACATGGTTGATATATGTAATGAACTATGTACACCCAACTTTAAGTCTCTCATTAGAAGAGCATTCCATTCAACACAGTGCCCAATCCACACATAGGACTTGAGTGCAACAACATTCTCCCACTTGTTTCCTGTAAGCTGGTCTCCCATGTTGGAGGTTATATATAACCGGCATGACTAGTTACCACTGATAGCCTTATTCTTTATGAATCTGTGCAAGTTCCTTTGAAAGGAATCCAAACTGGTGACTATCTCAATATCTTGTGGTAGCAAATCCATAGTTTAATCATGGGCTCTGCAAAGAAGCACTTCCTTTTATCTGCCCTGAATCTCCCACCAATTAGGTTAAGGGGAGGACCCCAAATTCTAGTATTATGAAGGAGGGAGAAAAATGTCTCGTTCACTTTTGCCACATCATACAGACCTCCAAAACAGGACTAATCTAAGAGTAATCAAGCCTTGCCTTATTTCTGCCACTTATAACAACAACAACAACAACAACAACAAATAACAGATGAGAATACCTAATTCAGGCTGAACAATGTAGTTTCAGGAAAGCAAGAGGGTTCTTGTGGCAAAAGTGAACTAGAATGTATCCATGCTCTTCTAATTCTTTAGACTGATCCTTGAAACACCTACCTGGCTTGTGCAACATGGCAGCTTACTGTGGACTAATTTACCTGCAGGACCTGCCATGTTGTATTGGGCACCTGACTTGTTGTGACTTCTTGTGTTGGGCAAAGTCAGTCAGCAGGGGTTGTTTGTGGGTTGTAAAATTCTCAAATAAGCAAAATAACAATGACATAATACCTCTGTGGGAGTAAAATAAGCCATACAGGGAAATGAACAGGCCCATTTCCTCAGAGTTGGTGATACAACAAATTCTACTGCCAGCTGCCATGAGAACTCAGATGCCACATATCATGAACTGTCCTCAAGAAATGCTATCCAGTTCTGAGATGCTCTAGTCACATAATTTATTGCCTGGTTAGAGAACCAGAGTCCATTTCTGGTAAATTCTTTAAACTGCCTTGCAGCAGTGGGCAGGGACAGGAATTAAAAATATAATAGAATCACAAAATACTAGAGTTGGAAGGGGCCATAAAGGCCATCAGGTCCAACCACCTGCTGTTTACAGCATCCCACTCAGATGGCTGTCCAGTTTCTTTTTGAATGTCTAGTGTGGGAGAACCCACCACCTCTCTAGACAGCTGGTTCCACTGTCATATTGGTCTTGACAGTGAGGAAGCTTTTCCTGATATCTGCCCTGAATCTGGGTTGTCGCAGCTTGAATTGAAGTCCTACACTCTGGCATCAGCAGGAAGTGCTCTTAAGCTTCCTCTCTGTGATGGCCTTTCAGGTACTTACAGAATGATACCATGTCCCCCCTCAGTCTTCTCTTCTCAAGGCTGAACATGCCCATTTCTCTCAATCTCTCTTCATAGGGCAGTGTTTCCAAACCCTAGATCCTTTTTGTTGCTCTCCTCTGAACCCTTTCTAATTTTTCTGCATCTTTCTTAAATCTTTGTGCCTAGAACTGGACACAGTATTCCAGATGAGGTCTGACTAGTGAGGAGTATAGAGGAACTATTACTTCTTTTGATTTGGAAGTAATACATCTGTTAGTGCATCCCAAAATAGCATTTGTCCGTTTGGCGGCTGCATCACATTGTTGGCTCATACTTAGCCTATTACTCCGAGATCTTTTTCAGCCATGTATTCCCCATCTTGTATTGATGCATTTGGTTTCTTTTTTCTTGTGTGGCGGACTTGACACTTGTCCTTACTGAGTCTCATTCTGTTGCTTTCAGCCCAGTGTTCATGTTTATCAAGACTGCCCCGGGACTTCATTCTGTCTTCTAGGGTGTTTCCTATTTAACCCAGTTTTGTATTGTCTGCAATCTGATTATCTTTCCTTGTACTACCTCATTCAAATCATTAATAAAGATGTTGAAGCACACTGGGCCCAGGTCTGAACCCTGTGGCACCCCACTAGTTACCTCCATCCAATTTGAGAAGCCTCCAGCTTTGTGTCCAATTTTGGATCCACCTAATAAGTTTTTCTATTAGTCCAGTTTTTACTAATTTGCTTATCAGAATGTCATGTAGCACTATGTTGAAAGCCTTGCTAAAGTCTATGCAGATTATGTTTGCAGTGACAGTGTTCCCTCTGTCCATTTGGGAAGTTACCCAGTGAGATTAAATTAGTCTGACAGGATTTATTTCTGATACATTCATGTTGGCTTCTATTAAGCACTGCATTTTCTTCAAGATGCTTACAGTTGGATTTTTTAAATAATTTGCTCCAAAATTTGTCCAGGGATTGATGTCAGGTTAACTGGTCTGAAGTTCCCAGGTTGAACTTTTTTCTCCTTTTTGAAGATAGGGACAGCATTACCCTTCTCCAGTCGTCTGGCACTTCTTCTGTTTTCCAAGATTTACTGAAGATAATAGCCAGTGGTTCAGCTTATTTTAGCTCTTACTGCCAGTATTTAAGCCTTCACACAGGCATTTCAACCTTTTAGAAGAGGGAAAACTGTAGAAAAGCTGTGAAACCAAAGGACTGCTGCTTGAGGAAAGAGAGTGGGACCAAGGAAAGGGAGCACGGCCATGTGTAGAATTTTGGGAGGCCTAAACTGTGCCCCCAGGAAGCTGCATTTTGCTTCCAAGCATGACATTTCTCACCTCTGCTTTACACAGAGCAGCAAAGAAAAACACATTCTAAAATGTGGGCACTGTCAGTCCCTATAAAGCAGTTTACATTGTGCAACTTTTATTTCTATGCTTGAACTGTTAGTTCCTTTCCTTACCTTGAAAGCCCCAGATAAAAGTTCCTTGATTAAGGGTAGCGGGCAACTGATGGAAAAGGCTTCCCCAGTTATCCAAGTCCATCATTATAATATGTGTCATAGTACATAAGTAATCAAGATCAGGTAGATCTCCCTCATCTAGATTTAAGAGTGAAAAAGAGAGAAAACAATAAAAATGTATTTGTGTTTAATCAGTTGTAGAAACCAGTATTTCAAGAAGTTTTAAAAATCTAAATGCACATTCTTAATAATTCAGCATAATTAACCAATTATATATTCAATTCCTTTACAGCAGGGGTCTCAAACTCATGGCCCGCGGGCCAATTGCCGGGACGGGCAGGGCACGGGGGAGGGGCCCTGCGGCCTTCAAAGCGCCGGTGGCACCCGGGCCAGCCTCCGGATGAGCGGCCCACCCCCACCGCGGTGGTGGAATACTTGATGCGGCCCAGCCTCACCCAGACTCTACTTCCAGCGGCCCCCGGGTAAGTTGAGTTTGAGACCCCCGCTTTACACCAAGTCTCAAGTCTTTACTTTCAATTCCAAATTGAGTCTCAAGGGCATTGCAAGAAAGTTGAGTCAAGTCAAGTCTCAAGAGCTAACTAACAGAAAAAGGGAGGCAGTGGGGGTGGGTGGGTGGGAGAGTTTATCCCCCTCCCATCTGCACTTCTCTCGGTGATGCTCTGAAGTCCTTTACCTCAGCCATGATTTATTTAAACAAGCTGTGCTACTATTCAAAATTTATCAAGATTGCAATTTAGAAAAATGATTTTCTCAACACAATTGGCCCCCAGCCTGGTGCTGTTATTCTCCCTGGAAATATTCTCCCTGCAGGAAAAGAGCAGAGGTAGAGAAGTGCTGCTGAGCTTCCTGCTGAGGAGAGCTGAAGCCTTCTCCCTATACAGGCAGTCCATGGGTTACGGACAAGTTCCATTCCTGAGAATCTCCTTAAGTTGAATTTGTATGTAAACTGGATCACATGAGTAAGCCAAGTGTTTGTCTTATTATATGTATATATTTTACCTTTACTATGCATATAAAACACTTAAGAAACACATCCATATTCACTAAAACTTCTTAAACACTATACGACATTGCAATAATACAGTAATAAAGTAATGGGGTACGGGGGTGGTACAGGGGTGGGTGGGGAGAGAATTGTATGTGTGCAGGTATACAGTATTGTATAAACAAAAGAAATAGTTCTTAAAACAGTTTAAAACATTCTTTCAAATCAGTGTCTTAGAGTTAGATCAGCTCACTATCATTTTTTGCATGGATTATGAATATGAAGATCATGAATATGAAGCACTTTGAGCACTTTAAAGTACTTTATGTTGTCTATTGTTTTTGTTTGCTCATTTTCTGAATATATTTCTGAATTGCTTTGCTCATTTACAATAAAACGTAAGAATAAAAAATACCACAGTTCCAAGCAAAACCAAACCTAAGACGAAACAGAAAAAACAGAACATACTTTCTGTTTTTATACAGTTGGGTAACATTTGCAGGCCTGTTGGCCGCTTTGGAGGGGATCAAGCCTGCCGAATTCAACAAAGACAGATTTTGGTTCTCTCTCTTTCTCTGACTCTCCCTGTTGTCAATTCAGCATCATTTCCCCATCCACAGTATGGGCGTGCTAATACTGATCTAATTCCCCTTTAGTGTTTGCCCTTGTCATTAGCTCCTCAGCTGCTAGGCCATTTGTGAGGAGAAAAATAAAACGGCTGTACAAATGACCCTTGAAGGCTACTTCAAGAAAGCAACTCCAGTGATATTCCCCCACCTCTTGACTCTCTAGCACCAGCTCCATCTCCATCATCATCAGTTAATGTTAGGCTTAATGTCACTTCATGGACTGGGAAATTATTAACAGAAACAGGATTTCAAGCTTTAAAACAACAGCAAAAGAGGAGCAGAGAGAAGTCATCTGGGCACCTCTGCTTCTGCCCTTCCCAGAAACTCTTTTGTCATGGTTTTGCTTCATCTTTGAGATTGTACATGTGTTCCAAAATACACTGGCTTGAGGCAACATTGTGGAACAAAAAGCTGTGAATCCCTATCTCTACAGAAAGCCATGAATATCTCTAGGGAACTATGTGGCCACTGGTGGTGTGTTGTCAAACACCTCACATAATTCCCTAGAGATACTCACGGCTTTTCATTAGATTCACATAGGGTTTATGGCAGTCCCCATGTTCATAAGTACGTAGCCCAGGAACTACCTGTATGACAGCCCCCTCTCCCTGCACCCATCCCTTGTCCTTCATTCACACTGCTTCCCTCAGGTCAAAAAGTAACTTGGCTGTAAAAACAATTGAAATCTTGAGTGGAGTCACTAGCTTACTGCTCCTGAGTCGAGTTGCTGACGTGACTTCAGCTACACTTGGAAGTGAGTTGCTCAACTCAAGTCCCCAAAACAAACCATCAATTTTCCATGGAGATCCATGGTAAGCAAATGGATCTTGCTTCACTGTGCTTGCTGGATTCACACAAAACGACAACCTGTTTCTGCCATGGTTTCTCGATATGTGTGAACACAGCTGAAGTGTACAAGTCCCAGAGTTTTTGGAATAGTTGATTTTGTTTTATACAAATTGCTGGGTGTCATGCCTGATGGCTCAATAGAGACATCGACTCGCAAGAAAGAGTCAAATGTTCACAGTGAGAATCAGGCATTGGAACAAGGGGACTTATACTTGGGGCCCAGTAACCAAACAGCCCCTCTGCAGCCTGACTCTGGGATCGCTGAGCAAATAGCCTCTCCACAGCCTAACTATGAGGCTTCTGATTGGGTGGCTTCTCCTCGTCCTGACTCTGAGGTGCTTGAACAAGTTGCCCCCCCCCCGCCCCGCCCCGCCTCCTGACTCTGAAGCTGCTGGGCAGAGTTGAAAGCTTGAAAACACTCAGCAAAGATCCAGTCCGTACTACATGCTCCTTAAAGCAATATTGCACCACAAGCATTAGGCATATGAAGAACCATCCTGACCCATGCAGGCTTTAGAAGCCTAAAAGGAGAGCCCACCCCACCCCACCCCACCCCCCCACAAAAGCAGAGAAGATCCTTTATCATCTGGCAACACCACTGCCTTGATCCAAACCCCCTGCATCCACAGGGAAGAAACAGCTTGCTCACACTCACAATACCCATATTCACCCTAAGATCACAGGAGTAAGTGATGAGATATTTAACAGAGCTCCAACTATTACTACTACTATACTCCTATACCCCCACAGCTGAAGATTTCTGGGTGGCTCATAACATAAATCTGGTCAACCCATCCAGATTTCAACCAAGCCCAACCCTACTTAGCTTCCAAGATTAGACAGGAGCAGGCACTTCAGGCTATATGAAAGCTATATAAAGACTACAGGACTATAAAAGCCCTAGGTTTGCATGGTTAGTATCTGTACAAAGACACCATCTAAATTACAGCCACATATTCTCCTGTATCCATTTTCTGCCCTTCTTATGTAAGAAGATGCATTTACAACTCCTGCCCTTTACAATGGCAAAGAAGTCTCTTTAAAATATGAGCATGCAACCCAGCAATGGTCAGCCACAGGAAGGTCATAAGAATCTGACACGAGATGCTATGTCAGATGCTTGCTACAGGCTTCACTCTGAGCAGGGCAAATGATTCCAAACCATACGCTGTGTTTTATTTTATTTTATATTGCCTTATTGTTAAACAGTTCCGAGACCACGGTAAGGGATGGTCTGGAAAAGTTATAAATACATATATACATACAGAAACAGGCATACAGGAGAAGCCTATCTCACTGGGCAACATCTAGGTTTCAAGGTCTAGTTTTGTCCCACATCTAAATCAGTTGCAACATGTGCTTTAGCATAAGTGAAAGCAAAGATAGCAATAGCTCCTCTAATTAGGGGCTTGATGCCAGGTCTCCCTAAGAGCAACAACTGCCAAGATACAGCTCAGGCTGCAGCTGCTTCTCTATTCATAGTCCTTCTGAAAAATCAACTGTCTGTGTGTCCCCTCCACCCCGCTCCCCAACATACACAGGCTATTCTCACTGCACAGCTCCAGCCAATGTATTGCTATCTCTCACAGATGTGACTGCTACTTCTTCAATACAGCCTCTATTCCTTCCTGTCTCAGTTCTCCCTTGGAGCACCCACCCTTCATCCTTTTAATGTTCTCTTTGTTCCTTTCCTTGTTACTGTTTGAAAACCATATGTGACTAGCCATGTAAACAGTAACCAGGTAAACAGTACCTAGTATGTATTGCTGGTTTACAAAAAAAATCCACACAAAAAAGCTTTCTCACATAGAATCATATAACAGTAGAGTTGGAAGGGGCCATGAAGGCCATCAAGTCCAACCCCCTGCTGTTGCAGGACACCATGTTACATCATTATGGACACAAACTGTATCAAGACAATTTGCATTCATTATGCAGAAGAAGTGAAATGTTATCTTTGCGGCTTGATCAGAGAACTTCACCCATTGGAAGGTACAAAAATGTAACCAACAAACCACAAGGTTCTCTTTGCAGCCAGAATTTCTACCTACCATGGCCAAGCGCTTCAGAAAGTGGCTTCTTATCCAGCTCTTTGTTTTTATCTTCCAATTTCAACTCACTTTTCTCTGATGAACTTGTTGTGGCCATATCTACAGAAAGCAGTGGTTTATCTGGCTTCTTCTCCACACAGGAATCACTGGCATAAAACTGGAAGACATCACTCTCTGCTGGAGACCCAAAGCTTAGCTGGGGTTTCTGTGAGAAGCAATGCTTGCCATGAAAGTGCTGATGGGCAACTGCAATATCACTGAAGTTCTTGTTACATGCTCCACACCTCACCACATACAATTCTTGGTCTGTCTTTTTGCTTGAATGGCTCACAAGATGCACCATCATTTCAGAATAGGTTTGTGCTGTTGAGGAACATGAAGTACAGCGGAACCACAGACAACCCTTTTCCAGCATGGCTTCCTGACACCTCTTGTAATCTGCCTTCTTATTTTCTTTGCAGATGTATTTTTCCCGACAACCACAGCTGAGGAGGCTGCTCTCTTCTACTACTTCAGCAGTTTTGATTGATGCCCCTGCTCCCTCAGATACGCACAAATAATCCGTGCTGTGTAAACCCTGGAAGTGAAGGAAAAACTCCTTCTCAGCATCAAAAAAGAGGTTGCCACAATGCCCGCAAAAGTATTTAATCTGCACAACATTGTTATGCTTCTCCTGACAGTGTCGATGTAGTGTTTCTGTTTTCCGAAATGTCATTTTGCACAAACCACAGCTGTACCTGTGAAAATGATGGCTGTCTAATGACATACAATGTTGCTTCACACTGTCTTCCGAGTCAAATACTTCCTCGCACATGCGGCACTGCCATTGGGGAGAGTTTCTTTCAGATGCAGCTGCTGGACTTGGAATTGGAGACATTTCCACTGGGCTTGCAGACCGGCTATTTTGTTCAAGTGAATTACTGCAGTGGGCATCAGAAGGTAATGCAGGCTCATCCTCAGCAATGTTCTTCTCACAGTAGTAGCTGTGCCCGCCATGGAGTTCTGTCACATGGGCCATGACATCATCTTCCTTCTGGAGTGGTACATTGCAGGCTCGACACCAGAAGAGGAAATTAGCCAAGTGTGCCCCTCCATGAAACCGGCTCATGTGCAAACGGATGATACTTGCACTTTCTGCAAATTTCCCACAAACCCCACATTTGTGGCAGATTCTGTTTTCAGAAAAAATATGTTTTTCTACCAACTCCTCAGAAGGAAATGCCAGATCACACTGACATACCCAGGTTTTGACAGTCTGAACATAGCTAATCTCTTGGCTTTTCCCTTCCAAATCCTTTTTTCGTTTGGAAATGGCTTGTCTTTTATCACTAACTGATCCATTCAAGTCCAAAGGCCTCTTCAGAGAAGAAAATTTTAAATGGCCTACATGCTTCTGCAGTTCAGGAGCACTTTTATTCTCTTCATGGATGTGACAGATCATCAAGATAGATTCTTCCATTGTGGTGAAAACTTTAACTTTGTGTAATGTTTCAGAAACATGCTGAGTGATATCGTTGTCATTGGCAAACACTTTGCCACAGCTGTGACAGACACCTTTGGCTTTAAGTATTTCAGCAACCTGGGAAATGCTTTTCTTTGACAGAGCTATTGGACCAGCATTACGGCAACGAGTTCTAGAATTAGAAAAGACAAGTTAACACCTTCACAGCTGCACATATAACAGTATTCAGGTTCATCTAAGAAGCAATCCATGTTCTCAACATTATTTCTAGCAACTGGGGATGCAGCATTTGCCAAGCTCAGGCCATCCTTGCAAAGAAATAACCTTGAAGGCGTTTGATGCCATGCCATCATCTCTCATGGTTCCTTTTTCTTCCCTCTCTTGTAGTAGCAAATATTTATTTTTATTTATTTTATTTATTAAAACATTTCTATGCTGCCCCATTCGCCGAAGCCTCGGGGCGGCTCACAACATGAAGTAAAATACAAAAAATAACAATATAAAATAAGTAACAATATAAAATAAAATAAAATTTTATTTTATTTTAGCCCAGGTTCTCATCAAAGCCCTTTAAAACTAAGCCTAACACTTGGAAAAAACATAATTTTCTATCTTCTTAGCGTTTTTGAAGCCAAAAAGTGTATATACGTATAGCAGCTACAGTGTATTGTTCTTCCCTTCATAGTTCAGCACTATGCTTGCTACATGTGATTTTTAAAAATCTTCTAACATTAGGTAACCCATCATTTCCATGTTTCAAATACATCAAAGTCCTGACAGCTATTTAAAGAAAAGGCAAGCCTGCAGTTCTAATTTACAAGTGTGAAGACCCCCACAAACCTGAAGTGAGCAGTTAGCTCCACATGGGAACGCAACACTTGATGGCAGGATGTGCATTTCACTTGGAAAGGAACTTCTTTGCACAAGGAGATCAGAAGATTTTTTGCAAACGCTGGGAGAGGCAAAGGAAGGGGGTTCCCTGGTTTATCTGTAATCCGGTACAAAGAACACAGTGTCACTAAGTTAGAATCTGCATGACTGATTGTTGGAAAAAATGAAGACATTTCAGCCAGAAGACTCAAGAGCATTTAATAGAAAAATGATGGATAAAACTGAACATTCTACTGACAGTTCCAAAACAGGAACTTCCTTAAAAATTACACTATCAACAGTGATGACAGTGCTACCACATTTTAAGGTACAGGGTTAAGTCATGCAGTGGCCATGATTCCCAGACAGAAAAAAATACCTATCCAAAGAAACCTACCAGACAATTTCAAAGCCTGGAAAAAATGATTCTTCATAGACATATGCTGCAGACACTCATCTCGTATGCTAAAAAGAAGGAAGCAGCATGGACATGCAAAGCACTGAATACACTGAGGAGGGTAATTTCGTTCATGGCCATCATTTTCTTTTGCCTGCGGAGAACATAAAAGAAACAAACCAGGAACTCAATTTTATATGAACAGAATTTTGCTTGCTTGTTTTTTTTATAAGGCAATGAAAACTATTTTTCTATAACCTGTTGTGGAAAGATTTATTAAAACTAAAGACTACTGATGTATGAATGCAATGTTTGCTTCAATTATGTGTAATACTGTGAAATAAAATTTAGCCATAAATACTGATCTACAAGCAGATCTTTGGGAATTAACCAGTATTTAATCGAACCCTGTCCAGTCAAAATGGTTATAATCTCAACAGACAGAATTCGTTGCATTTCTTTTTTCAGAGATTACCTAGATGCCGACAAAACAAACAAACAAACAAATAATCCCAGTAACAGCCAAAGACCAACTTGCATGCAAACTGAGTTTTCTGAATCACAACCAGCATATACAAAAGGCTGTGTACAGCTTTGATGTTCCTTTCACAAGCTAAGCAGCCTATAAGAAATCAAGACAAATGCTAAATTTGAGTAAGGATGCCCAAAGGGAATCATGCAGAAATGAGTGGATACAATGGAGAAAATAAATATAATTCATCTGAAAGAAGAACTTGCTATCCTTAAATTCTTGCCTTAGACAAAAGGTGTTCACTATATTGTTGAGAGGTAGAAAATCTTCTATTACAAACTATGCAGGCAAAGGCATTGGCTGGAGGTCCACGCAGTGTAATTGTTGGATCACACGGAGAATGGTCAAACCTACGCAAATAATAAATTAGCATCCTTATGTATAACATGCCTTAGAAAACAACATTTTGCATTTGGGGCATAGTCCATGATAATAAAAAGTTTAAAATCAATCACCACCCTGTAGCCTAATTTAATATCAACAAAATGGGCCTAAACACTCATGTTAAAAACTTGCTGGCATCCATCTATACACTGTACATTGTGCATTTGAGACTCCTTATATGACACTACAGTGGTACCTCGGCTCACGAATGCCTTGGTTCACGACCAAATTGGGTTGCAAACAAAAATTTCATGAAAATTTTGACTTGGGTTGCAAACTCCGCTTTGGGTGCCAACAAAGATCGCAGCCATCTCCCCACCCCCCACCCCCTGTGATCGTGCAGGGAAGACTGTGTGATCACGGGCGCGCTTCTGCAGGAGACGGGTGCAATCTCGGCCATCTGCCCCCTCCACAACCAGGACGACTGCGGCCATCTCCCCACCCCCCCCCCAAGTGGGGAGATGGCCGCGATCGCATTTGAGTTCATGGGGGGGACTCGAGGGGGATGGGGGGGGGGGGGTGTCGGTTTTGGTGGGGGGGGGGGGGGGGGAATGGCCATGATCATGCTGGTTGCAGTGTGGGGGGGAGAGATGGTCGAGATTGTGTGCGTCTTTCCTGCAGGAGCGTGCCCATGCCAGGATATCTTTGAGAAGCACCACCCCAACATAATTGTAATGAACAGAGTGTTGAATCTGATGAACAATAACGTGGTCTCTCATTTCCGGAGGGTTATGCAGCACAGGAAAAAACAAGTGACTATAGACAGATGTTTCACCAAAATTGACCCTGCAGCTAAGAGATAAAGAAGAGATGAAACCCCTGAAATAGATCTCCCCAATGTCCTTAGGTTAGTATTCTCTACTGTACTGTACTTTGTTACTCTTTGTCACTTTGTTTCAAAATTTCTGATTTAAAAAAATAGTTACAAAACGGATTAACCTTATTTACATTGAACTTTATGGGGAAATTTGACTTGGGTCACAACCAATCTGGGTCACAACTAGAGTCATGGAAAGGATTAAGTTCGTGAGCCAAGGTACCACTGTATATCCCATATTCAAGCAATCTAGTAACATTTGTTTTTGAGTACCATAAGAACTGTTACCTTTTAAGGTGGCCCAGGAGAAGATGACCATTGTCAAACTTTCTGTTGCAATTCATTATAGGACACAAAATGGATCTACTGTTAGATGGTGTTTGGTCTGACTTCTTTGAGAATGCTGTTCTTCCAGAGTTTACAGCACCTGGCTTGAGACCTAAGAAACTGAAATACTTAGAACACTGTGCTTATATTTTAAGAAAAGATATAGGTAGATTACAGTAATAGGTCAACAGAAAATAACTATTTTATATCATGCTGTTTTCTTTCTTAGATTCTTGGGCTACTATTTTGAATGAGCTTTGAGACTGTTTACTTACTAACCTAGCCAATAATCTGTCTATGACAGCGACTGTCCTGGAACAAGCCATTCTAGCTAATCTGTACACTAAGGGCTAATCTGTACAATGGCTGGTAGACACAGACTGGTTGGCTGGCCACAGTAAAAAGTAGAGCTCTCACAACAACACTGGAAAAGCCTTCTAAGGTTGCAGAGGAGACGTGGCTTTCGGAGAGCACTCTGCCTCATAGCTGGGGGGGTTCTTTCACCAAATCCAGGTGGTGTTTCAGTACCTCTTCCTCATGAGGAGAGGGAACATTTAGATGGCCAAACCCCTAAACTGAAACACTTTTGAGGGCATTCTCCTCCCACATTTGATTGGATGCCTGTAAGCTTCTGGGTTCAGGCAGCCACATAGGACAGACAGTGCACCCAGAAGCAGTCCCTGCCTCCCTCTCTTCTGTACACAATGCGCATGCACACAAACAGGTTGCTTAGTTCCTTTTACTATCAAAAGCTCTCAAAAAATACTAATGAGACCAACCAACTGCTTCTGCTTTGGCTCCTAGGACCATTTCATGCCTATCATCCATGCACTACTCTCAGGAACTCTTTAGAAAGAATAGCACTTGCTATCAATCCCACAAAATGTAACATTTGCCCAGAAAAAAAAAGGAATATGGCGTAAGGTGGGATTTCCAAAATGCAACCAATTTCTATGCAAACCTTTTCTATCTCACTATCTATGTTCCGATTCATTGTCTCCTTTTTAAAAAGTTACGTATTAGCTGCTCTGACCTTTTGGGTAGAGCAGTATATTAATGTATCTTTAAAGCAGACAAATCCTAACATGTGAATATATGCTTTGCAGTAGTGATAGTTCATATGCCAGTTTCTTATCAGTGAAAATTCCATTTCCGCTGGCTTATGTACCTCTTTTCCAAGGCAAAACAACATATACTGTCACCTTTTTCCACTGGGCAAAAAAAAAAAAAAAAAGTGAAGGAACTTCCAGCATAATATGTACACTAAAGTTATGGGTTGGAGAACTTTGAAATACCATTTTTGTTCCTGACCTATCAGCCTCACACCGTTCTGATGGGTGCCAAAAGTAGGAGAGACAGATATTTAAGAAAATAAAAGAAACAAACCCAAATGGAAATTGGAGCTGCTCTAGAATGCCAGGAAAGTGGGGAGGGGAGTTCCAAAATGGTTAAAATTTGCTTACAAGCAAGCTAATTTTGACACTTTTAATGTTGCTCAGCAGCTCTGGATGCCATATTGTTTGCAAAAAGTAAATTAGTTTACATTTTGTGGGGTAATGAAGACTGCATGTGGCCTACAGGTAGTATGAAGTTCACCTCTGTACTAATTCCAAGATGGAAGACCTGTTTAGGCAGGTGATCTTTGGAGGATTAATCTTGTACTAGTGGGTCACACTTAGTATTTGTTAATGGTGAGTATCTTCTAAAAACTGGGGTGGGGGGACAAACAGGTGCCCCCCAGATGTTGTTGGACTGTAAAACCAATGATCCCTAGTAATTGGTGAAGAATGACAGACGTTGCAATCCAGCAGCATCTGGAGACCACTCTGCTGCCTTAAAGGGAATGACAATGCTCAGACACCTCCATGTTCACCAGTGCTATTTTTAACCCTGCTTCCTCCTCTCCACCCCTCTGAAAGTGAGATCAATTGTGACCAAGAAAGCATACATCTTGGTGGGGAAGAACTGTTGATGTTGCTTTTCCATGTGGTAGAATCATCATAAAATAAATTACCCGGCATTTTCAGCCACTGGTTTACGCACAGTCTTGCTGCTTCTGTGTCACTATGTCCCTGGATAAATTCCAGCTCTTGTAGTCCGTGAGCATGTTGAGAATCCAATTTTTCCTAAGAGTCCCAAGATTTAGAAAACATTTGTTTTTCTGTCATACAATTACTCATACTAAAGTTGAAATACAAAAATGGCACATGTGTAAATACAATAGGTAAAGCTGATACACCACTGAGAAAGATGCTTAAATATTCCCAAACATATACACTGCACAACTACTTCCACAATCAGTTGTCAACTGTAACTTCTGAAGAGAAATATTCAGAAACTTTGGCTGTAGGGTAGTATAGAAATGAAATAATGAAAAAATAACAGTAACAACAAGACTATATTGTGACTGCACATAATCATCAAAGTAATGTTCTATGACAGCATTGCTCAAAATGTGCTCTTTGCCTAGAAATCTACCCACATTATAAGAAGAAACATAGAATTAGAACCCACGCTGTAGTAAGCAGCTATCTTGAACTGTTACGATACAACTGTTAAATTGCTAGAGGATGATGGGAGTTGATGATGGCTGATGGGAGGGCTGTATTACATAAACTGGGGGACAGTGATTGCCACCTATCTGAACCCGTGGGAAGTGCAGATAGCTACCGAAGGATTCCTGCTGGTGGAAAGATGGCTCAACTCTGGAATGACACCATAACAGCATGGGGCAGGGGTCAAGAGTACAGATTATAAACGTATTTTTAGATGACAAATGAACCATTCAAAATCCAACTTAAAAGTTTACCCAACACATGCCATTTAGCATTTTGTTTTTATTTTACTTGTGCTGCATTACAAAATTAAAGAAATGAAAATCCCACTGTAACAGCTGTGCCACAGTTGTCTATGGTAAAGAATCATACCTTGAATGCTTTATTTTTCTCTTCTTTCAGTTGTTTCTCTACCTCTACATGGCGTGCCAGCCGATCTAGGGTTGAATCAACCTTTTTCTTCTGATAATCAAAGTGGTCTTTGCACTTTATGTTGCTCTGCAAGGGAAGAGAAGCTTTCTTGTGAGCAGAGAACTCAAGCTACCAGATCATTAAATTACAATTAAACACAGCAGTCTGGGAATTCTGGGAGAGGAGAAGAGCTAAGAATTCTGTCTGTTTATACATCCAATGCCTTTTGAGGAGGAGTGAGAAAGAACCAGAAACTGGATTCAAGAGCTGAGCTGTCCGACGTTAGAATTGTTAAATTGTGCCTATACAATGCCCTGGGCTTTATAGTCTTACTGGGTCCTTAGTCAGTTGGGACTTAAGTTGGGACTTAAGTTAAAGCTGGCACAAAATGGTGAAACTTGGGTTTGTTTTGCTGTTTATGAAAGATTACTAGTTTTGTCTCCTCTCAATATAGATGTCTTTAGAAACACCCTACGGTACAATCCTACTCTGGAACCTTCCTGAGGCTACAGTTTAACTGTGGCTACAGTTTAAATTCATGTGACTGTTTGACAATTAAAAACACAGGTTATGTTGGTATAAGAAAGCTTCTGTCTGCCCCTGGTTTGTGAAAGGTTTGTGAACAAGGCAACTTCTGAGCCGTGATGGACCTTTCGAAATAGCACTGTGTTCAGTATGAGAGAAGTCTCGGTAAAAGGATTTCGTTAGGATGGTCATTTGTTACATCACCTTCAAAACTGCGTAAGTGTATGTCCAGGAATAAATAAAATCCCCAATCTAACAATTTTGAAGTGTGAGTGTGTGTGTGCTATGTTTCTATGCTGTATTCTATATTTTTAATATACAGCATGCAAAATGAATTGATCTAAAATGAATCATCTAAAGTCTGCATTCAAGAAAATGGATGGTTGGTTCAGGACAATAGGTAAATTCAGACCTCACCCCCGGTCATTGATTCTGAGTTCCTGGACTGCCACCATTAATACAAGTATGACACACACATGAAACTTTTCCTGGCATGGGGTCTATGTGGTGGAAAAAGCTTTACCTATTCAGTTGCTCTCCTCTACCTACCATTTCCCCAGATTTCCTTTTTTAGCTCCTTACCTACTCAGTCATCTTCCTTCAGCCCTCCCTGCACCTCTGCTACCCCATGCGATGTTTTAATCTTAGCCAGATGACAACGTTCCCTTACCTCACAAAAGCCACTTGTGCTGCTGAAAGCTTTGTTCCCTAAGCAGCTGAGAAGTTGGTAACAAACTTAGCTGTTGGGTGTTGAATTTCACAGTCACAACCAAAGTACAAGTCCAGATGTGGGACTTATTAGATAATATAGACATTTGAGAGGAATGTAACAATAGCCACTAGGTGTACTTCACAGAAATTGACTGAGCAGCACAGCTAAATTGGGATTTAGAAAGTCCATTCAGTTGTTATTGCCTAAACCTATGGAAGAATGAGTGGGGCCATGCATGCTAATCCTGCTTCCCCAGTGACCATGTGACCATTGCAGGAAGTTTGGGTTGAAGCAGCTGCACAACAGTTTAATATGTTTCAAATTCTTCCTTCCTGAAAACACACTTGGTCATCCAAGGTTTTCTCTGGCTCATCGTTAATTTCAATCAATCACATGCTGCTCAACCGTATCGTTCATTGCATTATACCGCTGCTGCTGCAGTAAGATTTGTTTTTAATAGTGAATTTTAAATATAATTTGTATTGTTACTGCAATTTAAAAGTGCTTAGTACTACATTTAAATGTGATGTTTAATATTTATATGTGAACATAGAGAGATTCTATCTTATTAAATGGTATAGAATAAATAAGAATAAAAAAAGAAGCCCACAAGGCTGATGGTGTAGATTTGCTCTTGGTTCTTTCAGGATTTCCAACAGCAATTTAAAGGCCATTTAAGACTGTATACAATACAGAACAATGAAGCTTTTAAAAATATACCTACAAGTATCATTTTAAAGCCTTTCTTTCAAATTATTGCTATTTCAAAATTTACTATAATAAAGGAAAATAAGATTGTGTATGCACACCATGCACAGTTCCTGAAATTAGTACAAGTCTACAGAAAGACAAACAGGAACAAAAAATTCCCAAAAAACCCCCCTTTGTCCAACAATGTAAAGAATCAGACAACACTTACATTAGAAGAGCTGCTACAGTCTTCATCACCACTACTAAGGAGGTCAATGCAGTCCAAGACAGGTCTCAATACACCTTCCTAGGGAAATTAACAAACATTTTATCATTAGCAGGTATGTTGTAAGCCGGCATGAGACGTTTGCTAAGGATGGGGTAAAAATACTGTAAATAGACAGACAGATGGATAGATAGATATAGCAGTATAGTGGTACCTTGGCTCACGAACTTAATCTGTTCCAGGACTCTGGTTGTGACCCAAATTGGTCGTGAGCCAAGTTAGATTTCCCCATAAGGTTCAATGTAAATAAGGTTAATCTGTTCTGCAACTATTTTTTTTAATCAGGAAAATGTGAAGCAAACTGACAAACAATAACAAAGATTGCTGCCATCTCCCCACCCCGAGCACGAGCGCAATCATCTCCCTGGCCCCTCAGCAAGATTGCAATCGCGCCCGTCATCACTGCACGTGTCCATCATCCTGGCGCACTGGGGGGGGGGAACAGGCACAAATGCGAGTGCGTGGGGGGGAGATGGGAGCGAATGCGGGCCACTCAGGGGGGAGGTGGGCGTGATCGTGCTGCGGGGGGGCAGAGATTGCGGTTGCGCTCCTGCACGAAAGACGGGCACAATCACGGGTGCACTCGTACAGGAAAGACAGGTGCGATCTGGCCATCTCCCCCCCACACCGCACGATCGCGGACATCTCACTCGGGGTGGGGGAAGATGGCTGTGATCGCGGTCGCCACCCAATGCAGAGTTCGCAACCTGAGTCAAAATTTTTATGAAATTCTTGTTTGTGACCCAATTTGGTCATGAACTGAGGCGTTTGTGAGCCGAGGTACCACTGTATACTGTCACCCTGCCTATTTAACTTAAGTGCATATAGTCAAGGCTATGGTTTTCTCATTTGCAATGTATGGCTGTGAAAGCTGGACCATAAGGAAGGCTGAGCGCCAAAGGATTGAGGCCTTTGAATTGTGGTGCTGGAGAAGACTCCTGCGAGTCCCTTGGACTGCAAGGAGATCAACCCTGACTGCTCTTTAGAAGGCCAGATCCTGAAGATGAAACTCAAATACTTTGGCCACCTAATGAGAAGGAAGGACTCCCTGGAGAAGAGCCTAATGCTGGGAAGGATGGACGGCAAAAGAAGAAGGGGGCGGCAGAGGATGAGGTGGCTGGATGGAGTCACGGAAGCAGTCGGCGTGAGCTTAAGTGGACTCCGGGGGATGGTGGAGGACAGGAGGGCCTGGAGGAGTGTTGTCCATGGGGTCGCAATGGGTGAGACACGACTTTGTGACGAACAACAACTCCTCTACTTGTGGGTAAGGCAGGCTTGTGTGAAGATTATGTAAAAACCCATGATTTAAATATAGTCTTTCTGACTTAAATCAAATCCACCCTGGCTCTCACTCTCTTTTGTTCTGTTTTTCTCTGACCTAATATTTTATGCCTCAGGTACTTTCAGACACAAATTTAACTAACAGATCTACCTTGCTTACTTGATTTGTGATTTTACCCCCTTCTCACTTTTTTACATGTTCAGTGCCATTAGTATTTTTTTACCTTCAATAAGTTCACAGATTCTTGTCTGATGGGTTGAGAATTTTTAAAATTCAATGTAGAAACATACACTTCTGCATACCTAGAAAGTTGTTCAAGTATGTAAAAACTGCTATTTATATACAGATTGCCTTATTTTGCTTCCTAACTTATACACACTTAATCACCCAAATAAGTGGGTTACTTACAGGTTTTATAGATAAATTGTGTACCTACACTAACAAACTCAACATCATCTTCATTTTCTTCCTGTTGAGAAGAAGCGTTCTCAATGTTCTTCGAAGACATAATGTACTCCATTACCTAAAAAAACAGGAAAAATCACTTAAGTAATTTTAGTATTTGCATAATAATCTAACCTTTAGTCCCACAGCTTTGGTGCTTTACATCAACTACTGTATAGTTACTCCATATAACTAAACGTATCTAGTAACATAACACTCTCACACACATATACTGTACAGTGTGTATACACATACACACACTGTATATCTATATCTCAACAACCTGTACTCTAGCCAAATACAGATATCATTTTATTTATTAAAACATTTTTATGCCGCCCCATTCGCCGAAGCCTCGGGGCGGCTCACATCATTATGATGACAAAGTGCTACAAACAAACTCTATTTTTGCAGACATGCATTGAAAGAAAACTATACAGACTATACTCAATGATAACTTATCTTTTAATAATTTACCAGTTTGGTGCTATGCAAAATTACAAGGGCTACACAGTCCCTGCACTCAAAGAAAGAACGATTGGTAAAGGATGATTATGCTAATCTTAAAGAATGGGAGATGCAAAATGTCCTTTTATTTAAAATATTTTTATCGGTGTCATAAAGAGTATACGGACTTTCAAGCTTCACAGCACTAGTGCTGTAAGCCTTGTTTACACAACGATTCCATGCTAGCATGCCTGGCCCTGTATTATTACTGCATTTGTGATCGAGAAGGATGGAGATAAAGCGATGAGCAAGTGGAAACAGGAAACAAGCGATGGTGACTCAGGAAAGGCGGGGCAAAAGAAATCGGCAGGCAAAGATCTCCTTTTCTTGCACGCCAGTCTTTACAGGGAACAGGAAAACAACCACAAATACCGCTGGGAAAGAGTAGACAACACCTCCACTCCAAGGAAGGAGGCGAGAAACTGAGAGAGGACAGAGCCGCAAAGGCTGAGACGGGGCAGGGGCAGGTTACCAAGAGGCTGCCCCCGGCGCACGCAGTCAAGGCTCGCAAGCAAGCCACGCGACGGCGATGGCGATGCCGCTGCGAGTACCTTGCGGGAGCTGCTGCGTCCGCCCGCCAGGCCCTGCCCACGACTCAGCGACGCCCGGACTTGCAGCTCCCACACCTCGCGGCGCTTCTGCGGCCGGAGGATGCGGAGAGGAGAGCAAAGGCCGAACCTCCGCCACGGGCGCCCCGCGCACTTGCAAACGTCCGCGCCCGCAGAGGCAACCCCCGGAACTCGCCTGTGACGCGCCCGCGAGAGCAGAGTGCGCGCGCTTTTCGGGCTCTTCTGCTTTAAACTTCGAGGGCGACGCTTTTTTCCCCCCACCGGAAAGCCGCGGAGGCCTGCTGGGAAGTGTAGTTTCATGCGTGTCTCCAGCGGGGTGGGTTCTGATGCCGCGCTGAAAACGCGAGAGTTCGGCTCTTTTCTGCGGCTGCGCCTTCCTTTGAGGGATGCCGGCGATCAAAGGGCTCCGTTAACGCTAAGCGGTTGCTTATGGCATACACGCTGGAGAGCTGCAGTCTGTTGCTGTTTCCCCAGCTGTGTCATCTGGCAAGAAACCGAGGACAACATTTCAAGCCTCCGATGAAATGGTTCCGAGTGCACGGAAGGGTGCAAGCCCTGTGACCTCCAGGTGTGTTGCACTATAACTCCCATAATACCGCGAAGAGTGGGAGTTGTAGTCCAAGACAGATGGACGGCGCCAGGTTGGGGAGGTTCCCGGATGAAATTGCTCTTTAAGATTACTCAGTGTTGCTCCTCTCTGGAAGCTGACTTAATGTTTTCACCAGTGATTTCAACAACGTGGATGGATCCTCTCTCTTAAAGACAAAGAAAAGAATCTTGTCTTCCTGTTAACTTGCCTTGTGCTATCATAGGACAAAAGGAAAGACATTATAATAAAACTGGTCCTACTTCAGGTTGCAGTCTCACATACATTTATTTCAGGGTAATCAGCTCCCCAAAGATGTGTGCCTGGCACCTATCCTTTTCCTGGGGCCAGGGAAAACCCTTTTTATTCTCCAGATATTTTAATAGTTAAACCTTAGTTTTACTATTTCATTTTATATCATTATTCTGCCTGTATTTTTAACTTGATCAAGGCATTGGTGGAATTGTTGGATTGTTTTACTATCTCAGTGTTTTAATATGGCATAATTTAATAATGCTATGGTGGCCTTGTTTGTTACTGGTTTAGTGATTTTATTGGTTTTATTGTATTGTGGTTGTTTTATGTCTTTGATCTTGTTAACTGCCCAGAGAACTTTTGGGCTATTGGATGGTATTAAAATATTTAATAAATAAATAATTCCCACATAGTGCAACAGGAAAAACATTCAGCTCAGGAAACCACTGCCAGCCAGGTAGGTAGTATTGGCCCAGTTAGTTCATGCTTTTCAATATTAAAGCCCAATGCATGGAAGTAAGTTCCTATTATTTCAGTTTTGATATGTGCTATCAAGTTTTCTCTCATTTATGGTGAACATATGAATTAAAGACCTCAAAATGTCCTATCCACCGCAGTCCTGCTTAGTTCTTCTAAACCATAAAGTGAATAGCTGAATCTGTTAGTGTTTTTATTGTATAGAGTTTCAGGCCAGTTCACTTAACATCTGTACTGGGTAAACTACTTGAAAGCATGATTAAAGATAGAATCAGTAAGCACATGGACAGGTGATCTAGTAGACACTGTTTACTTGGATTTCTAAAAAATCTTTTGACAAAGTTCCTTACCAAAGGCTCCTCAAACTATGTAGTGATAGAATAAAAGGTTCGGAGGGCGGTCCTCTTTAACCACTAATTAGAGAACAGAAAACAAAAGGGGATAAATAGACCTCTCCTTGTGGAGATATTGGAGCAACTTCTTACCAATGGAGTCCCACAGAGTTCTGTATTAGGACCAGTGTTTCTCAACTGATTCATAAACGACCTGGAATTGGGAGCAAGCGGTGAAGTAGCCAAGTTTCCTGATAACATTAAACTATTTAGGGTGGTTAAAACCAAATATGATTGTGAGGAGCTCCAAAAGGATCACTTCAAGCTGGGAAAATGGACATCAAAAGGGCAAAGTTAGTTCAATGTAAGCAAGTACTGCACATTGGGGCTAAAACCCTCAAACTTCAAGTATAGGCTGATGGGATCTGAACTGGCAGTGACTGAGCAAGAAAGGGATCTTGGGGGTATTGGTGGACACCTCAAAGAAAATGTTCACTCAGTGCACAGCTGCTGTGAGAAAGGCAGACTCCATGCAAGGCATCATTAGGAATGGAATAGAAATTAGAACTGGCAAGATCTTACCCTATTATACAAGTATGTGGTGTGACTGCACTTAGAATATTCAGTTCTGGTCACCTTACCTGAAAAAGGACATTGAGTTGGAAAAAGTACAAAAATGGGCAACAAAAGTGTTTAGCAGCCCCCTCTATGAGAAATGGCTACAACAACAGGGACTGTTTAGATTAGAAAAAAAGGCAAGTAAGGGAAGACATGATAGAGGTGTTTAAAATAATGCATGGTGTGCAGAAAGTCGAAAGAGAGATATTTCTCCGTTTTCCATAACACTCGAACCTGGGGTCATCCTGTGAAGCTGGCTGGTGGAAGGTTAAGGACAGATTGAAGGCAACTGGGACGGCTTGGGACCAGGATACCTAAAGGAACACCTTTTTCCCTATTTGCCCTCCCGCCCCGATATTGGCAACAGAAGCCCTCCTCTGGGAACCCTCTGGGAAAGATATTAGGAGACAGAGTACCTGGAGGAGGGCCTTCTCTGCAGTGGCGCCCTGACTATGGAATGCGCTCCCCAGAGAGGTCCACCTGGCGCTGTCATTATGTTTTTCGGCACCAGGTTAAGACCTTTGTATTTAATCAATATTTTAGTAAGTTTTAATATTGAATTGTATTATTGTATTTTAATTGCAGCCAGAGTGGGTCATCAATTTATTTATGCTGTTAGCCGTCCAGAGACATTAGTAATTGGACAGCATACAAATTTTATAAATAAATAAATTCTTCACACAACATACAGTTAAACTGTGGAATTTGCTGCTATGTGAAGTGGTGATGGTCACAATCTGATTGACTTTAAAGGGGGATTGGACAGATTCATGGAGGAGGAGGCTATCAGTGGCTACTAGCCTTGCTGGCTGAGTCCTTCTAGAGGCAGCATGCCTGAAGACACCAGTTGCTGAGAAGCTTTGGTGGGCAGAGGTCTTGCACATTCTGCTTGAGCAATCCTGTGTGGCCAGCTAGTTTGCCACTGTGTATGGAGTTCTGGACTAAATGGACCTTTCATCTGATCCACCTTAGCTGTTTTATGTTCTTATGTTTTTAAAGCCTGCAATCTATGCCTATCCTAGAATAATGTTTAATGGCAATAGAAGGAACAGTTTCTAGAGATGACTGGCTTCCAGTCTTGGCTGTTTTTTTTTTACACAGTAAATTGCTAGGTTGGCATTACGTTCTAAACCATGTAATTTACTTTTTATTTTCAGTAACCTCTCCTTTTACAATTCACCATGCCTCTGAAAAAATGCAACGGTTGTTGCTTCATTCCCTTGTTTTGTGAAATTAAAAGATTGGGCAGAGCTGGATCCAAATACTTTGCTAGACATTTTTGGTTATTCTTTATAGACATCTCACCCACCTTGGTGGCCTCCAGAAGTTGTGGACTTCAGTTCCAATGAGGCCCAGTCAGCATAAAGAATGGTCAAGTATTCTGGGAGGTGTGGGGGAAGAGGGTAACTAATTTTAAGCATCCTAATGAAAAGACAATTGTGTGCAGGAGATATTGCTGATGTGGGGTGGAAAAATGTTCTAAAATGGACAATTTCCCACACTTTATATGGCTCTGTTTATCTATAGCTGCCTTGGCTGTAGTACTGCAATAAATCATGTTCAATGGGCTAAATTTAGAATATGAATTTTTATTACATTATTCTTCTAAGGTAAGCATTGAAAAACCAAAGTGTCTCAAAGTGAAACTGAAAAGTAAGACAAGGCAAACTCTTCCTGTGCACAATGCAATTGACTTCCAAGCTGAGTCTGGCCTAAACTTATACATGTGCATTTGCCCCTCTTTAACATTTAATAAAAACCTGAAGGAAAACTGAAATTAAGGCTATGATTATTGTTTGTTTCTTTGGAGTATGAAACAATCTATGCTCAGTTAGACCAAGGGTCTATCTAGCATTGTATTTACACAGTGGCCATGGCTTTGCATAAGAAGGATGAGAGTGCAAATTCCCCTGCCTGGAGTCATAGACTTACATCCATCCTGTAGGGAAACAGAATGTTAAGCTAGTTGTTCTGAATCAGATTTTGTTTAGCTTCAAGTAGAGCCAATAAATGGAACAGAGAGTGAATGATAGTGAAGATGCTGCAGTTACCTTACCAAAAGAAAATTAGTCTCCTGTTATAAGATAGATATTTACTCTTTGGGTAAATATCCTAAAAACATTGTGTTCTTTCAGATGTAGTCATATTTATAATATAAATATGGGAATGTTATAAGGAAATATATGATACTGTATTTGCAATTTTACAAATGTTCCAATAAAATAATTTCCACATAAAGTTTTGAATGATAAGAGTATAACACTGAAACTATATTCTGTGATTTAATCGCCCTGTAAGCAAACATTTCAGTTCGAGTATTTTGTAGGGATTGGGAAAACTTTTGATATATTTATACTGCATGTAAGATTGGCATGGATTATATTTTAGTTCTATTTACCAAATATAAAATATTGGGTGTGCTTGCTGAGGGAGAACTTTGTTGAGGAGTAAATATGAGCTAAACAAACCTGCTAAATTAGATAACATCATTCAGAGCATTGAAAAATGTTCTGGAAATTTTTTGAGTTCTCATTTTTTCCAAAGTACCCACATCATTGGGAGACATTTCTGCAGTAGATGACTCTACTTCCCTGCCCCCCAGTTTTATTTGCTTGGTTTTTTGCTGTCTTCTGCTTTCAGGGAAATTAAGCAGTTGAAGGTTTTCCAGATACTTTCTGTTCTCAGATATTGTATTTCTGTATATCAGGCGACTGGTAAAAACACAAGAGCAGCAAAAATATTGGCAGACAGAGAGCACTAGCATTCATCATCAGCAGTGCCATGGGCACCATTCAGTATATATTAATAACATCCAGCTATATTTCAATGACTCAGCAGTGAGTATAAAATCCTGCTATTTATGAAGAGTCGTCTTATTTTTTATTGCAGGTGATTTGAGCTCATTTTTGATAGTGCAGCTGAAATGTCTAAAAATCCTTTTGAGACTGAAATGCCAAACATTAACAGCATTTTAAAATGTTCTATTTGTGCATAGTGTCATTAGGCAGCTTAGTGATTTTGAGACACCTGTTTGAGATGGATTTAGTCTTGCCC